ATTCTAAAAGAAACATAACAATATTGTTTTATGTACTTTCACTTTTCACGTATAGTATAACTACTCTTTAAGATTAAGTACTGTGTATCTCAAAAACCAGAGCTAATAAAAATTTTTCATTGTTATTTTCGTTTTTATCACCCCAAAATTAGTAGAAATTGACTAATTTAGTGTAGGAAACATTCAAAAAATATTTTTTTGTTGTGTTGTGGATTTAATTTTAGAAATATATAGGTATCACAGTACTCTTGGGAAATTGTTATCCAAAACTTTGTCTCCTGCGTTAACTTCTTTCTAATGAATCGTTTCAAAGTCCGTGTGTGGCATTCCAAGTCCATTATTTATCGTAATTCGGATGAATAGTAATGAGTGGTTTAGAGTAATAAAATATCGATTAGTTGGACTTTTTTCGAGACTCGCATTCAGATTTATGCGTTAACAGGTCGTTTTTAATAATGCCTTCCTCTCATTAAAATTGTAGCGATTTCGTGTTTATGGTTACGCTCCGTAACTTTAAGATAGCCGTTTCTTTTCTGAAGGTTTAAAACGCATCTGCGCTCAGTAAGAGGGACAAGTAAGGTAACTAATCTATCGAGTACTTTATTCATCCTCATAATTCTTTCAGTTTTAATGACCTCCTGTTTATGTACGGGCGGGAATTTATGGTGCAGTTGATCATTATTCGACGAGATTTATCGATCAGCGTATGATTTATTGTGCTGAAAAGAATTGCGTAGGTTGTTGGAATAGTTGTTTGAATTTTGGTTGCGGATTTGAATCGTATTGAAATCGGCTCGGAAAGTACTAATAAACCCTTTGGTTTCCCTGTTTGAAGTGATAACTCCTCATGTGTGGGTAAACCGCTTTGTTACGTAACGCGTAACGGCGCAAGTTTGTCTGGCTTCCCTTTCTCTCAGGTATAAGTCAGCGGAAGGCAGGCTCCTCCTCTCTCGTCGTATAAACGCTCAGTGTTTAGTGTGCGTTAGACATATACTGTTGGCAGTACAATAAAAATGTAAGTGAGGATACACTATAAAAACGCACTTTTGTTTATTCCACAATAGTTTTATATTTCTTGACTAGTTTCGGCCATTACATCATTTTTGAAACCGAAACTAGTCAACAAATATAGAACTATCGTGGAAAGTAGACAAAAGTGTGTTTTTATAGTGTATCCTCAGTTAGATTTTTATAATACTGTCAACAGTATATGTCTGTTTGAAGGTGATTGACAATGTTTCGTGATGAATTTCACTAGTTCGGAACAACTATTCTTTTTTAATTATTCTTCTTTTTTACTTGTTTCAGGGATTTCAAATCATTTTATATAGTAGACAATGGAAGTCCGAACTAGTGAAAGTATATGTCTAACGCACACTAAACACTAAACACTTTCTATACGACGAAAGATCTATATTTCTTGACTAGTTTCGGTCATTACACCATTTCCACAACCAAAACTAGTCAACAAATATATAACTTTCGTGGAAAATAGATAAAAGTGTGTTTTCATAGTGTATCATCAGTTAGATTTTTATAATACTGTCTACAGTATATGTCTAACGTACACTAAACACTGAGCGTCTGTACGACGAGAGAGGAAGAGCCTGCACAACACCGTAATCATGCTTCAGCCACTAATCAGATTTGGCCCCCCTCGACTTTTTCCTGTTCCCATGAAAGGACGGCGTTTCGGAGATAAAAACCGAATGAACAAATTCAAATTTTTTGAGAAAAGTGAAAATTCATCTTAATTTTTGATCTAACCTCGTATTCACCTTTTCCAAACTTATGAACTATTTCGGAATATTCATTCTCTTAACTTTGGTTTCGATTTCAATGCAAAACTTTTCAATGAAAACTCATTGCACTCGCGATATTCCAAGATATTTTCAATAGTCAATCGACGACGGCTGTTTCGGACCTTCCGAATGCAACCGCGTTCCGTTTTTTTTCCACGAAGTGTTGTGCGTACACTAAAGCCGACTAAAAAGTTGCCGATGGCCACCGCGACCGGTTAGAAGCCTATTATAGAGTTTTTTCCTGCCGAGCTCCGTCCGTCGTCGATGTCCTCGAGAGTTTCAAAACGGTAGAAAAATACCCACCAAGAATGTTGCTAAGCCATTAAAATAGCCGTGTCGGGCTGCTTTTTAGCTAGGCCGTCGATGGAAATGGGAATACGATGAAAAACGCAGCTTAATAAGCGAGACAAGTTGGATTTCTCAGCTTCCACTTATATCTTTATAATTCTAGACCAGAGGTTCTCAAATATCTTTATAATTCTAGACCAGAGGTTCTCAAACTTACTTTGTCTACCACCCACTTCGAGAATCAATTATTTTCTAGGGCCCCCCATTTTTTTACTTTACTACATCGTAAAAATCACAATCGCAGCCATTATTTTAATAATTAAATTATGTGTGTCGTGTGAAAATAAGACTTTCTGATGAGGGTAATGTAAAACACCATTTTGTAACATTAGGAAAACTTTTATTCATTTTATTAAAACAAACATTTCAATTTGAATTTTCAAACTAATCTAATGTGTAGGATGAATTTGGTGAATTTTAACAAGTTTGTTAATATCAGGCTCGATTTTACCCAAAAACAGCCGTAAGTCACCGCGTTCGGTAATCTGCAACCAATTTTTAGTTAGCAACGTTGCCACTGCACTAAATCCACGTTCACACGAATACGATGATGGGAATGGTATCAAAAATTGTTGAACGATGGATTGGCTCTTGTAGCAAAAATTCTTGGTATCCACTTTTGAATTTTATGTTTATTTCCTCCTTCGTTATCAGTTCTATGAGTTCTTCTTCCAGCTGGGGTGATCCTGCTGTGTTGACATTTGAAAAAGAATCCAACACCCAGTCCAGTATTTCCTATTTTAAAATGTCATGGAATCGTTATGCGAAATCACTGTAGAGGTTCTCCAGATGTTGGCAGTAAACAAGCAAGTCGTCGTTGTTGAAGGATACTGCTGACAAATTAGGGAAATTGCGAAACTCACGTCTGCCGATATTGTTCTTGTATAAGAGCACTTTGGCTACAAAAGCAGCAATGACATTTGTTTTTTAATCAAATTCAAGTCGTCACCTTGAAGTTGGAGATTGGCATCATTAAATAATTTATAGAGGTATGTCAAGTACGCAATATCATTCTTTGAAGTGATGAGGTTGTCGTGCAATTGTTCGTCTTCGTTTTCCAAGAACTCTATTACAGAGTCAAATAGACTGTAAAATCTAGTCAGACAGTTACCTCTCGATAACCAACGCACTTCTGTGTGAAATAGCAATCGGTTGAAATCTTCATCATTAGCAACACGAAGCTGATTAAATAATCTGTCATTTAAAGAGCTGTTTCGGATTTTATTGACTGCTTTGATGATATATTGCAGTGATTGAGAGAGGCGCTCACTCAAATTTTTCGCAACCAAATGTTGCCTATAAATGACGCAATGTACAGCGAGCACATCTGGAATGTTATTTTTTAAGTACGCTATGATATCTTTGTGACATCCTGTCATAGCCGGAGCGCCATTCGTAGCAGCTGATATAAAATTCTTCAGTGGAATTCCTTTCTCATCACAACATTGTTCCAGTGTATTATATATGGTTACTCCTTTTGTATCCGTCTCTAAATTTCTGGCAAATGGTAGTTCTTGATATATTTTCTCATTTTTAATAAACCTCACGTATGACAACAACAATGCTTCATTGGTTGGTAAAGTGGACTCATCTAACTGAATGTTTTCAGCCATCTCATCAATTCGTCTCTGCACGGAACTATTGCTCAAAGGAATATTTCTGATAATAGCTGCGCGTTGGTTTATGAAACACAGTAATTATTACTTCTTTTATTGCCGGTAAAATTGAATCCTCTCCAATAGTGTGAGGTTTACCGGCTCGAGCAATTAGCAAGGAGATATTGTAGGAGGCTCGGAGTCCGTCGTCGTCTTGCTTACAAGCCGCTGAATAAAGTTTTGACACAGACAGCGGTCGGGCCTAGTACTTTCGAGAATGTAGACTAGAAACTTCTCGCTTCGCATTGAAACTTATCATCTATATGCTCTAGATTTACAGTGCTTAATTTTGAAAAAAAAATGAGCTTGAATTGAAAAGATCATTTTTGAGATTTTGCCTTTTCTTCAAGATAATTAAAAAAGTATCAATGATACGGAAAATATATCTATATGTTTTCATTAATGCTGCAATATACCCACCATTGTTTTCATTTTTCAAATGCTACGAAGCGAAATACCGTCTGAAAAAGTGGGTTTGACAACAAAGATACAACAAAGATAATTTGACAACTATCGGACAGGAAATAGTTACTGTCTAGTCCCCTAGATGGCGTTACACGAGGAAACGCGCGTTAAGCGTAAAGGAGCGGTAAAGCAACGCCCACAAGGGGGCGTTATCGCCCACTTTGAGAAAGACTATTCTAGACAGACGGAGTAATTACTACACTTGCTGAGAAGTCTCGGGCCTAACACATAGATGGCGCTAATCTTATTGCATTCATCGCTTTTACTAACCTTCAAAAGGAAGCTGTTGAAATTTTATGATATTCTATGTATTTACTAATATTTCACTTGTTCATTCAATTTTTTTTTCAGGGCTGCATTAGGACGAGTTTGCATGAAGTTAGTAGTGGTTATGGGTGTGAATTGGATATGGGATTTGCTATCTGTAGCTGTGGGAGGACCCAACGAATTCTGGTATGTGACGGACTTCATGATCTTGGTATAACATACGACNTAAGTGAAAGCACTCGAATGACACATGACAGTAGTGTGCTACTTCCCGAAAAATAAAAAGTCTCCCATTGTATCAACGAGGTGATAACTACCACAAACTGTCCCTGAGATGATTTAAAGTTACCAGCTAAATTGTTGCCAATGATCATTTCATGAAAGTTTTACGATTTCATTAAAAATTCCGTTTTAATTTTCACAGCTGTATGAGTATGCGAATCTTTATCTTCATCCATAAAATACTCCTGAAAAAAGTTACTTGTTTGGGTTTCAATAATGTTTTTATAAACCTGTTGAAATCATACTTAAATAATAGAAATAGGTGTGTCTCACACAAGGGATTTCGCTCACTTAACCATATTGCAACCAGTGGAGTCCCCCAAGGTTCGAACTTGGGGCCATTGTATTCTTGATATTTATTAATGGTATCTGCGAGACAATAGATTGCGAGACAATAAATTGATGCCTGCAGATGATTCACAATTATATGTTTCTGTTTCTAATTTGGATGATTGTATTATACTACAGAAACAAATTAACTCTTTACATGATTGGTGTTTGAAAAGTCACATTTTTTAAAATATTTCTATTGATTTTCACTAGAAAATCCAATGCTGTTTTTACCCATACACAATTGATCTGTTTAAAAAATCTGTTTAAAATCTGTTTTTCCGTTAATCAGCTGTCGCCCCCATACGAACGACAACTCTCAGAAGTTGAGAAACTTGTGCGAGCTAAGGACTAACGAGGTCTTACCTTTTAACATGTGATTCCTAACACGGTAATAACATGATAATAGAATTATTGAACATATTGATAATATCAGAGACTAAGGAGGTTAGTTCGACAATCCGCTTACATTCAACTCTCACATGAACGAAATTACTGAATCAGCATATCGTAAATATGATTTCATCTTTAGAAATTGTAGGAACTTTAATGATACCACTGCACTCTCATCTATTTTCTTTAGTCTAGTGAGGTCTAAACTAGAATATGGATAATCATGGAATCCCATTTATAGTCGATCCTCAATAACCATCGAGAGAGTCCAAAAAAGGTTCTAAAATTTGTATGCTTCAAGGTTGATGGAGTTTATCCTACAAGAGGATCTGTATATATTAATACACTACGCAGATTCGATTTCGTATCTTTGTAAAAGGGCAGAAATAAAGCATTCATATTTCTGCATGAGCTATCGAGTGGTTGACTCCTCTATACCCAAAGAAAATGCCGAGATTGAAGTCAAGATCAAATATCACTTTCAAGTGCAAAAGAGCTCAAACAAATATTATGTCTGAAGCTCCAATTGATGTGATGTGTTCAAAAGCTGACAAATTATCAAATATGTGTGACACTGCAGTAAAAGTGAATTAATAAATCAATCTCGAGCACATCTATAAGCAATTTGGGAATCAATCATGAATGTAATCTTTTTCTTTTTATCTTGTACGAGGTTGCCGTTTATATTTCAGGATTAGAGAACAAAAACAAATATTAATAATCGAAAATCACTTTTATTGTTTATCAAAATATTCCCCATGAAGATCTATACACTTTTGCATGCGTTTGAACCAATTGTCGAAGCACTTTTGCCACTCTGATTGAGGTATCTCCAAAACATGCATTCTGAATGCAGCAAACCGCTTCTTTTGGTGTCGAAAAACGTTCACCTCTCAGTTTGTTTTTTACGTGCGGGAATAAAAAGAAGTCATTCGGTGCCAAGTCAGGACTACACGGCGGATTACTCATCAAACCGATGTTTTGGCTGCTCAAAATGCAGTTGTTTGAGCCGATGTGTGAGAGCTCGCATTGTCGCGGTGAAGAGTGATCCGTCTTCGGTGGTTGGTTTTCCTGATTTCTTGGAAGACAACTGGCAAACAAATGGTTGTGTACCACTCAGAATTGACTGTACTGCGTTGTTCTAGTGGTACGGTTGCGACATGTCCAGTTTTTCCGACCATTTGCTTGGAAGTGCTTCATGCGCGAACAACTTTTGTTGGATTTGGCTTGAAACACCTATACAGTCGCCTGCTGTTGACTTTCGAGCTCATATGCGTAAATCCACGATCCATCACCTGTCACGATGTCATAGGCGTGTTTCGAAGCACCGCGATCGTATTTTTTGAGCATTTCCTTCGACCAATCGCCACGAGCCTTTTTTTAGCGATTGACAAGTTGTGTGGGATACAAACGCGAACAAATTTTTTTGACAGCCAAATGTTAATGCAATATTGAATGTATGTTGGTCCCACTAAAGCCTAAGGTTGTCTCAATCTCACGGAAGGTCACATGACGATCTTGCAATATCAGTTCTCGCACAGCATCAATGGTTTTTGGAACAACAACTGATTTTGAACGACCTTCACGAAATTCGTCCAGGAGTGAACTACAACCACGAAGGAATTCGCCATACCATCAATAAACATTGGTCCTTGATGGAGTTCATCGCCAAAAATTGAATTAAGATCATCCTTGCAGTTCCATTTTTGGGCCGAGATGAATCTTTTAAATTACTGTGAACAACACAAATAGCGTTCGTATGTCAAAACGTTTTGAGTACGTACAAGCTTAAAAATGTCCAACTTTACGACAGAGCTGTCAGTTGTCAGATTGCAACACTAGGGTTGCCAAATCCCGAAACATAAAAGGCAACCTATCGTATCCATGTCATCTTCTGAATGTTGTAATACTGTTAATATACTTCTAATTATATTGTATTTGCTATCAAATCTAAAGCAAATGGAACTTCAAACGTTCAAGCCAGTCTCTATATACCTACACAGTAGGTTTAATGGACTGACATTGACAGCCAAATGTTAATGCAATATTGAATGTATGTTGGTCCCACTAAAGCCTAAGGTTGTCTCAATCTCACGGAAGGTCACATGACGATCTTGAAATATCAGGCAACCTATCGTATCCATGTCATCTTCTGAATGTTGTAATACTGTTAATATACTTCTAATTATATTGTATTTGCTATCCTTTGAAAATTACTTTGTGAATGGGTTCTGTTGTGGGCAATAAATGCTATATCATTATTATCTATTTTATCAAGTCGATAAAAGGGCAAATCTATTTAAAATGAAGAGTCAAGGTCTTAGAGATTTCTTGAGCGTCAACATCTTCCAACATGTCCAGTTGTTGCTGTTGTGTGAAGAAAATTTCATCTACTTTCGATTTCAGGTACTCTCTGCCATCAAACGTTTCTGGGGTCTCAACAAGCACAGACAGAACGGAACGGCTGGCACCACCAACCACCACTCCACCAGTTCTCAAGGGCCCCCTTCCTTGGGGGACACTTTGACGAACAGCGTGATAACGAACGGTACGACGAAAATAGCTCTCGAAACTAGCTGCTAGAAACCAGCACCCCTACGAACCGGAAAGCTTTAAAAACTGACTGAGAGACGGGCCCGAGGAGCCGGTCTGGCCCCAAAACGGGGCCTTGTGGAACACGTGCTGCTTGTATAGGTAGTTATTTATGATTAGCTTAAGATACGGTGACGAGATGAGTCTCTCAGGAGATTTGATGTCATCAGTTTGCGGGACTTTAATTCAGATGCAGCTGGTTTGAACGGAGATCCTTGCCTGGTACCTTTAGTGACGATATATATTTTTGATAAATGTAGTAGGTTACTTGTTAGATTGGTGAAACCTATTTTGATATTTGCGCCTGCAATAATTGTTGTTTTAAGTGAGTACCTAAGAGTAGGTGCAGTGAAAATATGTTTGTGATGTTAGGTGTAACGAACTAGTGTTTTTTTATGAATTTGAATGATAAATGTAATTGCCAAATTATCGGGGATGATCTATTTGACGAGAGGAATCGAAAGATCATTAAATTGAGACTGAATTGTACGAGGGTGGTCCAAAAAGTTCCCGACCTAACTAAGATACAAGACATTTCTTTAGAATGTTTTTTTTTTCAATTTAGTCACCTTTTAACTCTACGCCCTCCTCCCAGCGATGCTACCATCTTTGTAACCCGTCCAAATAGTCTTTCTTGCGTCTTTCTCTGCAAAATTATTGTTGACGAAGGTGATTGCCTCTTCATTTGACGAAAATCTCTGCCCCCGAGCGCAATTTTTAGATGAGGGAACGAAAAAAAGTCGCTTGAGGCTAGATCTGGTGAGTAAGGCGGATGGTGAAGCAGTTCAAACCGTAATTCGTGGATTTTCGCCATGGCAACCGCTGAGTTGTGAGTCTTGGTGGAACAGGAGTTTCTTTTTCTGCAAATGTGGCCGTTTTTCCGTAAGATCTGCCTTCAGCTTGTTAAGTAGTAATGTGTAGTATGATACGGTAATGGTTTTTCTTTTTTGAAGATAGTTGATTAAAATAACTCCATAACTATCCCAAAACAGTCGTCTTCACTTTCCCAGCCGAAATAAACAGTTTTTGATTCTTTTGAGCCGGTTTCTTCTTTGCAATCCACTGTTTGGATTGTATTTTTGTTTCTGGCCTGAAATGGAGTATGCAAGTTTCATCTACAGTGAATAATCGGTGCCAGAACTCGGATTTATTCCACCCAAACTGCGCCAACGTACACGTTTTAGTCTAACGTGAGCAAACGCGGCACCAAACGCTCGGAAAGCTTTCTCATGACTTAATGTTGATTTATTATGTGACAAATACGTTCTTTTGACATGTTCATAACCTCCGCAATTCTCTCACTTTAATTCGGCGGTGAACTTTGGCGATGTTTTCGTTGGTAGTTGCAATTTTTAGACGTCCTGAACGTTTATCGTCAGCTGCCCAAAATTTCAATGTGGTAAAAGATGTTGCAGAGTCCCCATGCACAGAATCTAATTCATCTTTGATTTGCGTACCAAAACAAATATGCAATGGCAGCTCGATACACGATTTTGTCCATTTTCATAAAAACAGTCACGTCAACTCGCTCAAAAGACAGTTACGTAACAACTGCGCGTCCAAAACGGCTGAAACTTTGGGGAGTAACCAGCTTTTATTTACGAGTGCCGACATCTTCATGTTGAGGTCGTAAACTTTCCAGATCACCCTCGTATGTCTTCATATTGAAATTTAATTTTAGTTTTTTTTTTTTTAGTTGTGTAAGTGAAAAATGTTTTGAGGTTTCTGGCATGAAGTTTCATTCTCGATACTTGAGAATAATCAGAAATGTTCACAATATAGACTTTATCTCCAATAAGCGTTTCACTACAACAGAATCTTTTGGACTGGTCCAACACGTATTGGAAGTAAAGTTTATATTGTACAAAATCTCCTGATATTGTACTTTGACAAATTAATAAATTAACTGTCTTAAACAAATTCATTTCCAACAATATTTCAGTAATCACAAACTAATTTATTTATTACAACACGTGGCAACTAACGCCTAATTTATTTCCACTATTCGAATTTCTTGTTTAGCCGCTTGATTCACTTTCCGAACTGCCCTCTTGTGTCGGGAAGACCTGCTTATATCGGTAACGGTCCTTTCTAGAAGTCTATAGTCGGTTCGGTACTGGAATTTTACCGGCAATTCCCAACTACATTCTTTCGCGGTGATGTCATGTGTTTGTTCCATGATTCGACCGACGTACTGGTCAGGGGTGGCTTTAGATTCGTTACAGTACAGAGTGAATCTGCGGCATTTTTGTGAGATATAATTCGAATGGAACCTCCACTTCATTTGTGAAAGAAAAAAGATATTTTTTTTTGAGGACTTGAAGTTCCTTGATGGTTTTTGGGTTTCTAGCCTTCCACAATCTGGAAAATAGATAAATGTATTCGTCCTGAGGAGATACTGTGTGATATAGACCTTTGAAGTGTCTAGCTAATCAGTAACTTTGCCTTCAAATAAAGTAAATGACTGGAAAAATATGTGATACTTAGCCTTTTCAATACGGCTGACATTCGGACATTTACGTTTTCAAAACCTGCGAAAAAACATGGAAGATTCCCAGCTTTTTTTTTTCGAGAAGGATGGAAAAGTAGAAAGCCACAAAATTTCTTATTCTCTCCTTAAAACTTATCCCCCCCTTCAATCTACAAAAGTTCTTTCGAATACGCCTCTTTTGAGAATGTGTATATTTCTTTGGACAAACGTGGAAGATTAGGAATCCAAAGAACATGATGGAATATTCCCCAGTCATGTCCCATTGCTCGTTCTATTGAATTTGTTGAGGAGATCAGTTTTTTTTTCGATGACTGAAATTTTGGTGGAAATCTGGACGTTTCACTGAAAATGAAAAATATAAGTTACTGTTCAGAAAAGAGCAATAAAATTTGATCACAGGATTAATTTGCCTGTGAATTATTTATTGAGAAATGATTTTTTGTGTGCTAGAAAATGACTGAATGTAAGCTGAATGTTTCCCAGTATTATTAAAAAAATTGTCAATGTAGGAAGGCATAGTTCTATTATTTATTAGTTGTAAGCACTGTTTATTCACAATATTATTTATTTTTTTATGTTTACAGCGTTATTGTGAAATTAAGTTCAATGTATTTTTGATATCTGTTGTAAAAATCAATGTCAGTATTTTGTATATTGAAATGAATAGAATTGTACACACAAGTGGCGTGTTTTATTTTTCCTTTACACCCCTTTGAGAGGATCTTTTGTGAAAAACTTCCTACTAGTGAAAAACTATAGAGATAACTGAGTAGGAGTTTCAAGCTGACTGGTAGAAATGTTCAATTTCATTGATCTTTTATTTTTGTGAAAATTTCAACATATTCAGGATTTTCCAAAACGTGTTGAAGTACATTTTCGAAAATGGAACTAGATACCTTTAAAACAGAAATTTCAACTTTTTTTAATAACCAACAGATGGCACCACCACTTGCAGCAAAAATGTTTTCCTGGAAATGATGAAGTTCAAGGAAATGTGGACCATTAATGGCGGTATCTAGTGGTATGCAAGGATAAAATGTAAGGACTATATTCAAGTGCCATACAACCAAAATCTAAGGTGTGATTTACCTTATTTCTTCAAGTTGTGTGAACGAAAGTTTATTTCTAGTGGTGCCATCTAACAAAAATCTAACGAAACTTCAAACGTTTCACCAATTGTTGGTAGAGGTCACCACTAACAGCCTGTAATAAATAGTTCAGTTGGAAATAATAAATATACAACAAAAATGTGTTTGTTTTAGCTGTGTTTGTCCGTATAGGAGAGGTGTGTCGAACATTCATTTTGGAAAGGAACATTGATCAAATTCTATCAATTCATTCCTTGGTTGTGATTCACTTTTCTTCAATCACAATTAAAGAAGGTGGGCTACAAGTGGCGCTGAGGATAATTTGAAAAAGTACAGAATTCTAGTGAGAATTTAAACATAGAGAATGGTTAACTTTCCGTTATCCTTACTAGAGGTCTCACCACCTACAGCTGTAATTGGTAGTTCCTTGAAAATAAGTGAATGACAGAAAATTCTTGTTTGATCAGTGTTTCTATAGACCGAGGTAAGGATTGTGTAAGTCACTTGGTAACAAACATTCATCAACGCCTTGAATTTATTCTATTCCTCTCCATTTTCCGAATCGTTTCTGACACCATCTAATAGATGTCTCCACTTACAGTCTGTGACAAACAGTTCAGTTGGAAATAATAAATGACCTCTTCAATAGATTTACTTCCATATCATTCCAAAGGGTAAGGGAGCCAGGCTTCAACCTGATTGAAATCAAGACGACGTGCAGGTTTACTTCCATTAGCCAGGGAAGCTATGGATTATACTGTAGACGACCCCTCCCGACATAGAACCTGTTTGAAATCAAAACGACGTGCAGGTTTACTCCGTCACCAGTGGGTGTCTCTAAAAAATGAATCGTCAACTAACTCTTCAGCGACAGATCCAGGTAGGATTTTGGCCCGCCCACCCGATGAACTGTCAATCCATCTAAGGCATAAATTGCCTTATACTTTCAAATTAGGTAAAGGCTATAGTGTGAAAAGCGGCACCATTCATGGGTGATCCGAAAAATTACAAAATTCTAACGAAACTTCTCGCTATGGCCGATAGATGTCACCACTTACAGCCTGTGATGAATAGTTCAGTTGGAAATGATAAATCAACACAAAGTTTTCGTTTTTGACCACGTTTCTCCTTACGGAAGAAGGCATTTTGTATGTATTTCACAACAAACATAGATCGAGAAACAAATAATGAACATATTTTTGTCAAATGATTCAATATAGTCAATTCCTCTTCGTTTTTAACTAACTCTTCAGCGACAGATCCAGGTAGGTTTTTGGCCCGCCCACCCGATGAACTGTCAATCCCTCTAAGGCATAAATTGCCTTATATTTTCAAATTAGGTAAAGGCTATAGTGTGAAAAGCGGCACCATTCATGGTTGATCCCAAAAATTACAAAATTCTAACGAAACTTCTCGCTATGGCCGATAGATGTCACCACTTACAGCCTATGATGAATAGTTCAGTTGGAAATGATATATCAACACAAAGTTTCCGTATCTAACCACGTTTCTCCTTATGGAAGAAGGCATTTTGTATGTACTTCACAACAAACATAGATCGAGAAACAAATAATGAACATATTTTTGTCAAATGATTCAATATAGTCAATTCCTCTTCGTTTTTTAAATCTATTCAATTTGTAAGTTGAAGTTCGTTTATGGCCCACCCACCCGATGAGCTGTTAACCCATCTAAGGCGTAATTTACCTTATTTCTCCAAGGTGATTCAAAGAAAATACAAAAATCTAACGAAATTTTCAACTTTTTACCATCGCTAATAGATGTCGCCACTTACAGCCTATAATGAATTGTTCAGTTGGAAATGATATATCAACACAAAGTTTCCGTATCTAACCACGTTTCTCCTTATGGAAGAAGGCATTTTGTATGTACTTCACAACAAACATAGATTGAGAAACAAATAATGAACATATTTTTGTCAAATGATTCAATATAGTCAATTCCTCTTCGTTTTTTAAATCTATTCAATTTGTAAGTTGAAGTTCGTTTATGGCCCACCCACCCGATGAGCTGTTAACCCATCTATGGCGTGATTTACCTTATTTCTCCAATCTGAGTAAAAAGTAACGTACTGCAAGTGCCGCCATCTAGGGGTTATTCAAAGAAACTACAAAACATCCAACGAAATTTTCAACTTTTCACCATCGCTAATAGATGTCGCCACTTACAGCCTATAATGAATTGTTCAGTTGGAAGTGATAAATGAACACCAGACATCGTGTTTTCGGCTTTGTTATTCTTTATAGGAGAAGGCGTATTGTATGTTCACTTCAAAACAAACATTTATCAATTTCTACCAACTAAATAAAGTAGGGAATCAACAAATTTTATCAGAGTAGTCTATTCCTTTCTATTTTCCATAATCATTCAATCTTCTGGGGACCGATTTAAGTTGATTTGTGGCCCGCCCACCCGATGACCTGTTAACCCATCTTAGGCGTAATTTACCTTATTTCTCCAATCTAAGTATAAAGTAACATGCCGCAAGTGGCGCCATCTAGGGATGATTCAGAAAACTACCAAAATCTAACGGAATTTTAAAATTTTTACCGTTGCTACCACTTACAGGAATGTTGTAAATTCACTTTGAAACAAATATTGACGAATGTCAATCAATTAAATCTAGCTTGTGTTTTACTTCTTCTTCAATGTACAGAAATGTCTGCTGCAAGTGGCGGTATATAAGGTTGAGCTTTACTAAAAAAAAGAGATTTTTACACTTATTATTATCGTTTCTAGACGTCACCACCAGCTATATAGCTTGTAAATTGATAATCCAGTTGGATCTCAATCTATGTTATTCTTCTCCATTTTTTAAATCCTTCACTTTCTCATTGCCATCTTCACGATTGGCTTGAAGTAAGTTTGAGGCCGCCCGCCCAATAGATTGATTCTGGGATATGATTTACTTTATTTCTTCAATCTAAGTGAAAGATAGTGTGCTACAAGTGGCGCCATCTAAGGGTGTTTCGAAGAATTAGAAAAGTCCAACGGAATCAAAGCAGAACTAGAAAATTAGGATGGACACCACTAGCTTTGTATATATACTATCCACATTATGAATTCAAATCAGAGAGTTTATATATCATCAGTGGATTTTTCAAACAGAAACGAATCAAAACTAGAATATTAACAGCACTGTTGGAGAGAGTTGCCAGACTTTCTATTACTAATAGATGTCGCCACTCACAACCTGTGATTGAATGAGCAGTTGACAGTGATTAATCTCATTTCTACAAATCATAAAAAGGATATTGGGGTGGATCTCACTCTGTGCCATCCAAAAGTGACTGAAAATTCAAAAATTCTGTGGCAATAGAAGATCCAAAATGTCGAAAACTGGAGTGGTAGTTCATCAAACACATCTAGTGCTTGATTAAAGCAGTGCCACCTAGGCGTGTCGCCACAGAACTGTTATTCCATATTTTTTCTTTGGGGCTGTTTTTATTGTAAATGAAAAGACCAATAAGAATATAATTAATATATTACAATATCTTGAGTCGTTTGTAATAATACAATAATCTTTGGTATATGTACAAAAGATATAACTAAATGCATAGTCTTAAATAGCTCACAATATATATTAACTATGAAAAACTGGTCCAAATAATTTATTCATCGAACACAACAGAACAAAGACTAGTGTAAGTCACAAAATAGTCCATAAATATCTTACAGAGCTAGTGCAGTTCTAGTTTGTATTCAAATAAATGTCAGTCATATATACATTGGGCCGAGTCAATCCCTGCATGAAAATTTTGTGAAATAGTTCATCTTCGATGATGAAACTATGTAGACATTTAAGAAAAACAAATGTTTCGATTCTGGAATTCATTTGTTTCGAATCCATGGTGCAATCTTCCTTAAACTGCCACTTGAACACAATCAAATATATACCCGAGTGAAAATTTGAAAACTTCATGCAGGAACTCTCAGCAAAAGGATCAATATCAAAATGTTTCACAATATGTTACACTATTTCATAATTTCAATATACATAAATTTTAGTGTCCTCAGATAGGTAAAAAACGTTGATTTTGAGAGTTGAAATTTCCCGCAACAGTTTAGAAGAAGGCTGCAATAAAAATTCTGCAGAACATAAACCAGTAATCCATATTCTTGTTGAATTTCCACCTATCCTTACTAGAGGTCTCACCACCTACAGCTGTAATTGGTAGTTCCTTGAAAATAAGTGAATGGCAGAAAATTCTTGTTTGATCAGTGATTCTATAGACCGAGGTAAGGATGGTGTAAGTCACTTGGTAACAAACATTCATCAACGCCTTGAATGTATTCTATTCCTCTCCATTTTTCGAATCGTTTCTGACACCATCTAATAGATGTCTCCACTTACAGCCTGTGACAAACAGTTTAGTTGGAAATAATAAATGACCTCTTCAATAGATAAACTTCCATATCAGTCCAAAGGGTAAGGGAGCCAGGCTTCAACCTGATTGAAATCAAGACGACGTGCAGGTTTACTTCCATTAGTCAGGGAAGCTATGGATTATACTGTAGACGACCCCTTCCGACATAGAACCTGTTTGAAATCAAGACGACGTGCAGGTTTACTTAGTCACCAGTGGGCGTCTCTAAAAAATGAATCGTCGACTAACTCTTCAGCGACAGATCCAGGTAGGTTTTTGGCCCGCCCACCCGATGAACTGTCAATCCCTCTAAGGCATAAATTGCCTTATATTTTCAAATTAGGTAAAGGCTATAGTGTGAAAAGCGGCACCATTCATGGTTGATCCCAAAAATTACAAAATTCTAACGAAACTTAAAATATTCAACTTGAACAAAAAAGCTGCTCTAGAAAAATATCCTGAACACCCTGATTGGGATTTTAGTTGCCATTACTTCCAAGTAGAGTAAAATCATTTTGTGATGGAAATATTTTATATACAATTCAGTTGTACACAAAATGTTCACCCAATTTGATTCTCAAAGTCATTATATTAAGACCCCTCTCATATCGGAACCAAAAACACCTCTTTTTTCACTTTCTTCGGTTCTTATTGATGGGGCTTAGAGAATGATCAACCCTTTAAATCAGTCACATCTGTGAGACTAAATAACCCACTAAAATTACTACAAGATTCATCTCTTTCTTGTCAACAGATGAACTTTTGAATAAATAATAAGTCGATGCTGATGATTTTTTGTCTCAAGTCTTCAATTATTTTGAATTTGAACTTTTATCACGAGATTGATGAAGCATCGAATGAAATGCTGAAAAATCACTACAAAAATACAGCAAGAAATTGAATTTTAAATGCACTGCAATGAATACTTTGAAGAACCTTTGACCGCATTTTTTGACAGTCCCTCAAGAAGCAGAGAGGTACTTTTAGATATGAGAGTGGAGGAGAAATAAAGCTGAGAAAATTTATAATGTATGTAATAGGGAAAAAATTCAATTAAAAAAAAGCTGTCATTTTGACATTGAAAACCCAACATTCTCTCCACAAGAAAGACATTCGCATAGCACCTTTACATTTCCTCATTCTTCCAAATGCACAAAATCTACATCATCAACAGAAAATCCCCAAAAAACATGAACAATGGAACCCCCGAACAATACATCGAAAAACCTTTCAAACCTCGCATCAGGTTCCGACAATGTCTTCACGTTTTCGCCTTCACAGCACCATCCCCATCACTCTTTGTCTCGAACTTCTGCTGCAGAGACGCAACATTCGATGAAGACCTAGCTGCCTTCCTAACTCCTACCTGAGTCTTCGAGCTCACCACATCAGAGCTGTTGGTTTTAATAACTTTCCCAGCAGTCGGAGTCTTCACCAAGTCACTCTTTTTATCTTGCCCCGACTTGATCCCTGCCGTTTTCACACTACCCTTCAAAGGGGCTCGAGGTAAGTTCACGTTGGGCTTCACACTAGCTATGGAGGGCTTCTTCATGACCGGATTCCCGCCCAGGACGTCCGGGGGTTTGGAAGCGGGGTTAGAATTGCAACTAGTCACCAGATCCGGACTGTTGGTGACAGACCGGTTGGATTTCTGCACCGGGGGCGCTGCTCTCGACGGAGAAGGCTTCCGCGTCCTCAGATTCGGAGGCGTGATCTGCCTGTTGATTGGTTTCGGCGCAGGTTTCGTCGGGGACGGGGGAGTCTTCAGCTTACTCCTCTCAGGCGACGTTTCCACTTTCTTAACCCCCGCCTTGTAGTTCGAGGCTAGCGGACCCTGCGGCCTGGCGAAGGTCGAAGCAAAAGGCTTCGCGTTGTCCACCTTGAACGAGCTGACTCCAGACTTAGGCCTCTCGTCCTTGGGTTTCTCAACAGGTTTCACCGGAACGTTAACAGCCGACGGCAGGATGTAACCGCTCGACGTGGAGCTAGCGCTGGACTTCAAGTTGCCGCTCATGTTGCTGTACTCGCTGTCGGAATACAGCAGAGAGGCCGTGTTGACGTAGGTCTCCGAATCAGGAGGCGTTAGCACTTTGTCCTGCTCCTTCTTCTTGTTGTCCTCTGCTTCCTTCTTCTTGCGCGCTAGCGTGGAGGTAGAGTATATTGAGTCGAAGTTGCGGTTTTGTATCTCCGACACAATCTCCCCCAAAAGGCCCATGTTCTCGCTGGAACCGGAGTTGCTGGAAGGCTTCTGCTGATCTTGTGGAGGAGACACTGGATTTTCCAGTATAACGGCATAAATATTGTCTCCCGAAGGACTAGTCTCGCTCAGCCTACCCAGAGGGGCTGCTTTGTTCAGACAATCATCGTACTGACTCTGGGTCTTGTCCCCAGGAGGTCTTGGAGGCGGGGGGCTCTTCGGCCGGCTAGCGGACGGTATACTGAGAGGCCTCTTGAATCCGCTAGGCTGCCGCATGGATCCGAAAGTCTGTATGTTAGGCCTGGGCGAGTCTTTTGGAGCTCTCATGCTTTGAGCTCGCATGACGACAGACTTGGTGGATTCCTGCTCCACAGGCAAAGCGGTTATGGCGATTTCAATGTTGGTTTGCGGGATCGGGTCTGAAATCTTCATAGCTCTCAGAGCGTCCTTGTCCAGAACCTTGTTGGCCTTTACCTGATTACGTTTGAGCGTGGAATCCGACCGAGCAACCGTTTTTTTATCGGCAGGTTTAAGAAACGAGGTGATTCTGTTCAACGTACCGGTATTACCTTCCTTAGGTAGTTTCTTGGGCTCCTCTGTGATTTTAACGGACAAAACTGTGCTGGACGTGGGTTCTGTCGTCTGGGAAACAGGGACAACAACAGGAGCTTCTGGAGCCGCTCGTATAGGTAACTTGGGGGCGTTCCTCAGCGGGGAAATCAGCTCCTTGGCGGTGCACGTCGAATTTTCCAGCACCGGCGATGATATTATCGGCCTGGGGTGGCTGCCCGGATTGGGTGGTGGCAACGCGGGGGCACCTGCCCCCGCCGCTATCCCGTTCGTGACTTTACTATTCCGGAAAGAGTTGTACTTCTGGATGGGCTTATCAAAAAAACTGGACTTGGAACAACCCACCTCCGGTGTCTTGGCTAGGGGAGCGCTACTTCGTGGTACCGCAGGTGGAGGAGGAGCAGCCCTTACCGGAGCCGGTTCGGACTTGTTAGGGGTGATCGAGAAGCCTTTGAAGTTGCCGAAAAACGCGCTCGAAAATCCGATGGGAGGCGGTGAATCTTCGCGCAGGAGGGAGTGATTGTCTTCGGTTCGTTTGGCAGTTTCTGTGGGGAAGGACGGCCCTCTGGATTTGTTCGGCGATTTGGTCCTGTTGGAACAACAAAGGAGAGACATTACTTCGGGGTGTTCGGAAACGAAACGCGGCCATAACCTCGCACAATGAAAACAAACTGGAGTAGGATGATCAATCGTTTGGAGCATGTGCAGTGGAGAGAGTGGTTATTTTGAACTGTAATATAGTCCGAGAGCGCGCGATAGAAATGTGTCATTTTTTGTTTTCTTAGGTTAGAGATGTTTTGGACTAGCAAGAAATCTTTGAATCAATACAGTTTGGAAAGTATAAGACAGTTTTTTTCAGTTGATCCCACTTTAATTATCTTGAAAATTGTGAGGCTTACGAAGTTAGTTGAATCGGGCAAGATATATATGAAGTTGGCGCATGTCTTCAAGTTCTACATACAAATAATATTGGTCCCCACTTCTTTGAGACATTTGTGACAAGAGGAATTTTATGATTTGACTCAGTGGATGTTTTTCTGAACAGAAATGTCGAAAAATACGTATATTATAATATATAGCTGAATTTTTTATGATAGTACCTATTAAAATTGATGAAACAAACTATACAGAGTGTTTCCTAACTGCGGTACGAAACTTCAGGGGATGATTAAGGCCAAAAATAGATTTTTTTATGATCTGTCTCCAAGAAGTCCAATCAACGCTTGCCAGTTTTCCCATTTTTTCGAGAACGTATTACACTACTATGTCGAAAAAGTACCGGAAATTGATCAATGAAACGCAAAATATGTATTTTTTCAACAATTTTTTGGAATCGATCAGTATTCCCTGTGAATTCTCTTCTATCGACTGAAAACGGGTGCCTTGAACTGGTGATTTAAGTTTTAGAAAGAGTAAAATCGGCCGGAGTCAAATCAGGTGAATACGGTGGCTGTTTGATAAGCTTTGTTGAGTTTTTGGCCAGAAATTCGTTCACAATGATAGCGTTGTGAGACGGTGAGTTATAGTGGTGTAAAATCCACGAGTCTTCTTTCCACATGTCTGGAATTTCTCGGCGAATATGCTCTCAAATACCGCATAACGCTCAGATGATTTTCTTTTTTGCTGTCTCACCTTCTGACAAGAATTACCAGTGCACAACACAGCGGTAATCGAAAATTATTATCACACATCACCTTTTATCGATTTTGAAGAGCTGTTTTCTGTTTCGGCTCGGTTGGAAAGCGCCATTCCGAAGCTTGCCGACTGGTTTGCATATCAAATTCGAAACCGCTTGTCTCAACACCAGTTACAACGTGTTTTATGGCTATGTGCTCAGAAAAGACTTGTTATAACATATCTTCAGCGGCTTTTACGCGATTTGACTTTTTGTTTCAAGTCTTTTGGCACTAGCTGCATGGCAACGCGTTTCCTTGCTTGAAAAATCGTTTAAAATGGTACGAACTGACTTGTAAGACGTAAAAATGTCAGCGGTTATCTCCTATCAGACTTAAACGACGATTTTCAGTCTCGATTTCCTTTACTTTAGCGAGTTGAGGAAAGTCATGCCCGACCCGAGCGTTTTTAGTATTGTATCACTTATTTGCAATGCAAAATTTGATAAAAATTTTTTTTGTTTTTATCAACTGTAAAAATCTTGAAGCACGTTTGAGGTTAATTAACAATTGAATACTGTAAACAAACTATAATGACATAATGCGTTGGAACTCCGCGTGAGTATACAGGACATTTGTGCCAACCTAGCTACAAAAATAATCCCTTCACGCGGGCTTTTTAAATGATCGATTCCCGGTACTTTCATTTCTTAATGCAAATATAATCTTTTTGATGAATATGTTAATTAAAAAATGTCGGCCAAAAACACTCATATCTTACATAATTCCAATTTTCTAGCAGAGTATTATGCATCGTTTATATGCAGCCAGACATTTGAAATGGAATTATAGTTGAGATTTCATGTCGCAGGCTCTCGGGCTGGAAGTAAAACTTGTGCTTACCATTGAAAAAGTCAGAACAGAAGCTATTCCGGCATCCTCTCTTCCCAACACTTTTGAAAGCCACTCCCACACTCAATTTTTTGAAAATTTAGATCAATTTGTTTCCTATTTAACTTATTCATTATGTTTAAAGTCTACTCGTTTCTTTCAACTATTTTATTGATATATTTTTTTTGATATCATATATTTCTTTTATGGAAGGGAACGTGACCAGTCCTGAGACAAGAAAATTTAGTAGTACCGCCATTTTATATTGTGGACAATGCTGGGAGCTATCAGGGATATATCTAAAAGTGCTACTATGTTAGCCTATGAACTTTTGAGCACAACTGATCTGAATAGGTAAAATTCTAAATCTTTGCCCGCATTTTTAATAATTGGAACATCCAGAAATGTGATCTGTTGTTGAGACAAGACCCAAAATTCCATTCCTAACTCCTGCTCTTGTCGAAAAGAGCAAATACACCATCCATGTATCAGATCTAGGCCCTTGGAAGGTAACCTAACTCTCCTCTCTCTTCCATTTAGCCATGAGCTTATGTGATATCAGAATAATTATTTAGGAAACGAAATTTGTTAGGGCTAGACTTTTGAAAAAGTCGAAGACTCAAAATTCATAGTTCTTCCAAATGACCAAAATACACCAAGGGATTCGTCCACGTTTTCAAAAATTTCAATATGAAAGTGGCTTTCATAGAGGCTCATACACAGCATACACTTCATTTAGTGTTGGGCAAACCGAACAAGATGACGAAAGAGAAAAAGTCTGGTATTTACCAAATAAGCTGTGAGAATTGCTATAAAAAGAATGTTTGTCAAAATAAGCGGACTGTATTTAATGAAATCGGCTGATACTCGATGAAAATCCATAACGTATTCAAAAAACACTTTAATGTTCCACTAAACAGTTTTACAAAAACGCAAAACTTGTTTCGCTATACAATAACTTCTTCAGGCGTGTCTTTACTGTAAATGAGCGGACTGTAATAGCTAGCTACAAGGAACATGTTTCACATATTCGGTTTCATAGATCAAAGAAGTCCAGTGTTGTTCAACATTCCGAAGAACGGCCACAAAATAAGTGGCTGGAAATTGTTGAAGCCGATATATGACTATCTTTTTAGATGCTTTCGAAAGTTTAGACATAAAAAATGTGTAATGAGATCTATGAACAGCGATAAAGGTCCAGTTCCAAACAGCCGCTATTCAATCCCTTACGCAATAATTACAGGTAGCAAACAGGTAAAGATTTGGTGATGAAAACAGAAAGAAATTGACATCAGGTACACTGACAATACAACAGGATATTCATTTAATTTTGCTTGCTCATCAGGTGAGGGATGATTTGTTCAGATATGTGAAAAAATTCAGCATACCATAAAATTTAGTATCAGTCATCTCCTGATGATAACTTGGTTATCGAAACGTGCGTCGCGAAACAGTATTATTGTTCTGGTACGAGAAAAGTGTTTTCGATAGACGAATTTAGTAAGTAAACAGAAGACAACTGAAGTCAAACATTATTTCAACTATAATCGTTTCGTAAGAAATTCAGTAAAACTAATATTTTACTAGAAAATATATAACAAAAAACAACTCCTTTCTTAATTGATATTTTGAAAATAATATGAACAGCGATAAAGGTCCAGTTCCAAACAGCCGCTATTCAATCCCTTACGCAATAATTACAGGTAGCAAACAGGTAAAGATTTGGTGATAAAAACAGAAAGAAATTGACATCAGGTACACTGACAATACAACAGGATATTCATTTAATTTTGCTTGCTCATCAGGTGAGGGATGATTTGTCCAGATATGTGAAAAACATCAGCATAACCATGAAATTTAGTATCAGTCATCTCCTGATGATAACTTGGTTATCTAAACGTGCGTCGCGAGACAGTATTTTTGTTCTGGTACGAGAAAAGTGTTTTCGATAGACGAATTTAGCCAGTAAACAGAAGACAACTGAACTCAAACATTATTTCAAATATAATCTTTTCGCAAGAAATTCAATAAAACTAATATTTTACTAGAAAATATATAACAAAAACAATTCCTTTCTCAATTGATATTTTGAAAATATTTTCCAACGAACTGACCCTGTGAGACATTATTTTCGTAACGTAATTTAACATTGTTTAAAGCAGGTAAAATTGTTTCATTTTAAGCGAACCACGATTTCTTATTATTTAACGCAATTCAGTAGTACTGATTCAGTCGAAAGAAACCACTTGAAGACAGAGCTAATAATTTACGTAAAATAGGAAAGTAAAACAATTGGAAAATGAAAGGAACTGACTTACATATCCGGCTCGAAGGACCACATGTTTGATTAATTTAATTGATGTGAGCTGTTGTTGACTTGTTTAGAAGTTAATAGAGCTGGTAGTGATCAATAAATAGCGTCGATTGAACTGAACTTTATTGTTTGATATGCAAATAGCGACTCTTCTTGCCGTTACATTTGTAGACTTAGTTGCCAGTTTTAACAAAAAGTATGCTAAGTAAATAGTTTGCATAATTTTAAACACCCCGCCTTATGTTTTGGTTGTTTTTGTACTGTATACAAAACATTCTACCAATAAAATTGATTATTATTGTTATTACATCCAAAACTGTGAAAGCACAGAGGTGGGAGTTGTCAGATATTGTTCCACAGTTGTCCACATCAGGAATAAACGTTCATCTACAGGTTTCATTAATCTCCCTCGAGCAAATAAGATAAAACATGGAGAGAAAAAGGTTTTCAGAGACATTGCTAAAACTCCCTGAATACATTGGCATTCTTCAAACAAGTTTGATAAGTTGATGAGGATTTTGGACTTTTCAGAAATATTATGAGTAATAGTCTACTGTTGGTAACCATAATACATTGACTGAGTTTAAGAGAACCTTTGAAAATATCCCGTTTTCTCCAACAAATAATGTTTAGCCAGATCAAAAACAGGATGATGGAAACTGAGAAGTCTGGGGTTCATGAAATAAGCTGTAAAGAATATGACAAAAACAATGTTGGTCAGTCTAAACACACTAGGAAATCGCGTTGAAAAGAACACACTGCACATATCCTGCGCAGAACAGAACACACATTATAAAACGCTAACAAAATAAATGAACAATGATTGAAATTGTGGAGACTGATGAGTGATAGTACACTCCATGATGTTTTTGTAAGGCTATAAAATTATGAAGGATGGCAAAGGTCCCACCCTTTTGAGGGCTTCACTGGTTAATTTGTGCCTCTGAAATTATTGATTTGTAACAGGCGTCGAGAAGACCGTTACAGTCCTGCTGTGTGGAAACAGTGTTTGTTTTGGGTGTATTCTGAGCTTCTTCCAACAGTACCCAAACCGTTATTTTCCAACATCGACACGTGTTTCGATCACCAAGTGATCATCCTCAAGAGAAAGTTTAAACTATCATTCATGATGAAGCAAAACAGGCTCCTACAGTTTTTTATAGAAAATTATATGAACTTAAAGCAACTCTATTTTGATAAGAGAAACAACGCGCGTCGAGAATAGTATTGCAGTTGTAGCATTTATAAACAGTGATTGTTTTGGATTTGTTCTGCGCCAGAGATTTTAGTTCTAATTTTCATTGAAAAAGGTAATTATTAAACTGACTTTGTTATTTTTCAGTCTATCAACCTGAGGAGTAGTTTTTATTATATTTTTCTACACAAAATTCATTAAAAAAACGAAATTTTGCAAAACAGGCGATATCTTATCTATTAGTTATACCTTGTTCAAATAATGTAGCTTGAACTAATTAATAACTGATCCACCTGTGATTTTGATTTCGAAAACAATGTAAAATAACTAATCTACAAACGACAATAAAAGTTAGCAATGTTAGACAGAAGTACAGTTCAATAATTCAAGATACATATCTACCCAACAAAAAATATTGAGTTATTCGAACAGAAGTGTTCGTATAGGAAATAAATTTCTGTCGTAAACATGTATAGCTCTTTAGAAATTTCAAGATAATATACTTCATTGATAAAAGATCAAGAAAAAAGAATTTCTTGAGAAAGTGGAACGATTTATGAGGAATGTAAGTCTTTATAGAGCCATGACGATAAATTAATGTTGGCAAAGAATTAATAGTTTTCCTTTCCACAAATTTTAACATTCTTTGACACTTTTCAATATAATAATCTACATTTTTTTCCTATAAAAATCAATCAATTCACAGATCTGCTTTTTGGGACAAATCTCTCAATTTTACGTTTTTGAGGTTAATGTCATAGTCACTCACGTCAAAATCATGAAGTCGATGACAGATACCAACCGCTTATTGCCGAAATGTCCCTAGAATATAACCTCAAACTGGAGGGATAGATTCCGCTTTTTGCCGAAATGTCACTAGAATATAACGTTAAAATGGAGGGATGTCACCAGAAAGCGAGTCCACTGTTAAATGAAGTTTTTTATGGGAAAAATGTTGAATATTGAAATGAAAAGAGTCAAATAAGATGAAACAAGAAGTGAAGGTGACTTCAAACTTAGTTTCTCGAATCCCGAGATTGAAAATCCCAAAATTTGGAAATCAAAATCAAAATTTGGTCGCAATTACACAAAACATAAAAATATGTGCTTTTTCTGCACTTCAGTCTAAAGAATTTACTTTTTTGAAGATACCATGAATTTTATTGACCCACAGAAACGATCTACTTAAAAACACAAAATTCAACTTTTTTGTTACGAGTAGATATGAAACCTAAATTTTTCCAAGAAAATCCCAAACAAACTTTTGTACATAAACATCCTGATCAGTCTTGTCGTACCTCCGTATGTGTGTAGGATTTTAGTAAACAAATTTTTTCAAATGATAAGTAACAATTTCGCCGCTAAACAGGATGTTTATAGTTCAAACTATTCTATGTTCATTCAAAATAATGGATTCAGTCTCGAAAATCAGTCGTCAAATTAGTCTTACATTAGAAATAGTCTACCAACTCTGAATTCGAGAAAAATATATCACTTTTTTTACTGTCTCTTCTAAAATTCACTTTGAAGCGAATTCTCTAACAATTATTGTGAAAATACCTTTAAATAATAACTCATACTTGATTAAATAACAATATTTATCGTCTCATTTATATTCAAAAATATATTTCAATAGTTTCAATAGTGTGAAAAATATTTCCACAGAACCAAAAAAAAAATCGATGTTGCCATCATCAATAAAACAGAAAATGACAAATATAATCAATTTATTTGATTGCATTATGAAACAATCTTTTTCCATTATTGAACGCAATTTTATTTACCAATCTGGATTTAGATGGGCGCCAAACTGACCTTGAGATTTCTAGATACAGAATTCGACCCATATCATATCTTACAAAAAATCAAACCCTGTCCTGACCGAAACTGAGACCTTTATTCATTTGTTTGATACGGTCCCTCACAGATACCTGAGGAGTATCGTCCAAAATCGACTCCGCCGTTTTCGGACTCTCGCTATCTTGATCCCTATTTTTGCTATACTTAATGCCGGTGTTCAGTTTGAGATTCTTTATGTTTTTCAGAGATATTCTCCGCTCGGGCTTTTGTTTCACGTCCCGCTTTTCTACCCCATCATTTTGAACAGAGTTTGGAGATTTTTCGCAATCCTCAACCACACTCCTTACTTTGGTCGGTTTTTTAACACCCCCCTGTCCCTCACCCCGCCCAGAAACTTTAGAAATAGTATTACTTCTAGTGATACACTCAGAGTTAGTGGTAGACACCAAACCAATAGGTTCTATTCTTACGTTACGGGAGACTGTCTGATTTTTCGAGACTGATTGCGAAACAGTCTGAATCGGTTGAGGTTTAAGAGAAGTACCAACACCCTTACATGCGTTGAGTGCATGCTGCAAACAGTTTGTTACGTACGTAGTCGGAGAGGATTTCTTCCAACCGAACTTGAAGTTGTGGCGGGCGTAGTAGGACAGCAGTGCTATGATAGCCAGCAGCGGTACTATGCCCAGGAAGATGATGAAGAGAGCCGCGACTATGCCTTGGCGAGCTGAAACAAAAAAAATTTAGAAATTACGAGAGGAGGCAAGTTTATTTTGATAACGAACACGCCACCTTCTGATTTTTATGACAAGATTTAGCAAACTATGGAAAGCAGAGTGTTTTCTTTGATTTGTTCACCAAAACAGGCTTCACTGATAACATTATAACACTACATTCGAAAATTATACCCATAAACAAGTATGAAGTCAGTACATCCACAGATTAATTTAGCAAATGAGCAAAACTTGGATCATTAACAAATTATGGAATGAATTTACCCGCCCTTTCATTTCAACAAACATATATTTTGAAGTTGTTTCAATATTATGTATTTGGATTTTCATTAATTTTTCACCAAAAAAATCATAATTTAAAAGTATGTAGATATTTCACACATAATTTCATGAAAAATATCATTCAACACAGTATTATTATAACTTATTTTATATGTTTCATAGTTTATAAATTACAGGTGGTCAAATTGGCCAAATAAAACTGATATTCCACCTTACTTACAATTTTAGGATTATCCAATATCAAAGTAGCTATATTCCATTAGGAATATTGAGAAAATCCAAGCCCAACTACTATAGACTAAGTCGCTGATGCATATCCAGCTCGAAGCACCATGTCCTCGAAGTAACCACCATTATTTCGTTTCATCGAGTATTTTAGGCCTGAACTTTCTGTAAATCCAAGTAGCCTACCCCAGGAAAAATATTTAAGAAAAAATCCAAGCCCAAGTACTACAGAAAAGGCCTAGTCCAAAATTTAGGTACCTATCCTTGAGCTGTGAGTATCCAAAAACAAATTTACCACTGTTATTGCATCTTATTTAGTATTTCACAATTGAACTGACTCAAAAACGAAGTAATCCAAGCACAACTATTTCAAACAACACCTAGTCCGAAATATAAGTAAAACAAAATCGTTGATTTGATATCCGGTTCGAAGGACCATGAACTTAGGCTGATATTGATAAATATCAACGCACTACTGGCTATTATTGAATACTAAAAATAGAATGTGGTTTATTTAGAAATACTGATGAATACTGTGTTAAATCTGTCACCAGGATTATGAATATCCAAGTAGCTCAAATCTATTAAGAATATTGAAAAAAATCCAAGCCCAACTACTACAGGCTAAGTCACTGGTGTGTATCCGGCTCGAAGGACCATGTCCCCGAAAGAACCACCGTTATTTCCTTTTATCGAGTATTTTGGGATTGGCATTACTAGAAATTGTTGAAAATCACACTTCTAAGTTCACGAAGATAAAGAATTCGACCCAACCTAAAAGTCACAACCATTTGTAAGCACTCACCATTAGGATCTGATGCAGGTCCGCTGTCCATCGATCCTCCCGGTCCCGGATAGTCACAATGGGGTGGAGCAAACCCATCTTTGCAATGACAGTGACCTTTGCTGTTACACCAACCGTTACCGTTGCAATCTTCTGGACACGAAGGGCCTGCCTTTCGCAAGCTGGAGACAGACATGCATTTCTGGTTGACACACATCTACAAAGAATAAGAAAAGTTTTGTATTTATCTGAAAATTTATATTATTACTACAATAGCATAATTGAAACGACAAAATAAAGCTCATTACTCTTGTGAATATCTCACCTTGTCTTCTCCGCAAATAGCTCCATCAGGAGTCAGTCCAGGATCAACCTGGTTGATCCCTAAATCTATTATCGCATTCCTACAGGGAATTATGGAACCCTTCTTGTTGATGAAACTATGCGACAGTTTAGATACAGATTCCATTCCGAATTCCAACCTTTCGTTCAAATGTTTGCAATGTAACATGCCACACAGAACACTCCTAAAAAGATTCAATCAATGATTATTCAGGTGAGGCTATAAAGGTGAGGTTCCATTGTATTTTTTATGATAAATATCAAAATGAGATAAAAGAGCCACCATTTTTACGCACGAACGTGAAACTTGTTATTGACATTTTGGATAATTCCATGTCATTTTTGTCTGACCTATGTACCATTTAAAATATTTGTTTATTCTGTTGTTGGTTGCAATGTTTTAAGACGTGAATACTTTCACATCAGATTGACCAAAAATAATGTTGCAGCTCACCACTCTTTTACTAATATAAGGAAATAAAAATTGCTACGTCAAAAATACCGCTTCCGTAATGATGACTGTAGGAGTGGAGAGATCATTTTGAGCATCTTTGATATTTGTATGAAACAATACGTCAATTCAATGCGGTTACAGACCGGCGTAGACGATTCACGCCGGTTACAGGCAGGAGTAGATGCTTCAAGCCGGTTAGAGGCCGGAGTAGACGCTTCAAGCCGGTTAGAGGCCGGAGTAGACGATTCACACCGGTTACAGACCGGAGAAGACTATTCACGCCAGTTAAGGCCTGAAATAGACGATTCACGCCGGTTACAGACCGGAGTAGACGATACACGCCGGTTACAGGCAGGAGTAGACGGTTCACGCCGGTTACAGGCCGCAGTAGACGCTTCAAGCCGGTTAGAGGCCGAAGTAGACGATTCACGCCGGTTACAGACTGGAGTAGACGATTCACGCCGGTTGCAGGCCAGAGTGGAAGTGGGAGATTTGTTATGCAAAGGTTAAGAAGTCGGAGGTATGACCATGAAATTCAAATAAATTGTTCGTTTATAATATATATTAAATCACGGACCTACCATTTTACGAAACATAAGTAATATATGAGAAAAAAAGTAATACGTGTTTCTTTTGCTACTGAGGCAGACATCATCAATCGTTTATGCAAAGTCACAGCAACGACTGACTGACGAGCTACGTGTTCACTCGTATTCATAATTTCAGAGGGTGGTGGGGGTGATGACGGGGACTGAGGCTGAGCTAATGGCGGGATCGATGGCGAAATGTGCGTGCAAATCCTCACTGACAATCGTCAGTGCAGACCAATCGGTCTGCACTTGTCCAGTAGCAGACGAAACGTTTAGTACATCAGTTTACGTTGTTCTTATGTTCTTATATTATTTTACTTACTCGTTCGAACACTTGTAATAAGACTGTGTCAGCCTATTGTAACCGCAATTCCCAAACTGCGTCCCTTTGGTGTTCATCAAGTAACATTGATCGTCGCTTGACTTTCCCGTTTCGCCCCATAACAGCTTACACTGGTCCGTCCTCGTCCTGCAAAAACCGTGATAGCAGTAGGCCTTGCCTCCGTCACAAACTTCAGTGTCCAACTTGAAGATGTCAGCCGGGCAGTATTCTGATTGGCCCGTACAGTATTCCGGCAAGTCACATTCGTAATCTGCGCTCCTACAAAGAGTTCCTGCGCCTTTCGGCAAGCATGTCTAGAAGAGATGTACAAAACGAGTGATAAACAGCTATAGCAATGTGTAACATATTCTAGATCAACTATTTTAAGGGTATTCTACACGCAAATGTTATTAAAATTACAAAAGGACGATAAGGATTCATGATCACCAAGCTAAATTATTTCACACTGGTTTTCAAGAAAAAAAACTGTGAGTGATGTGAATATTACTGGAGTTTAATCCCAACACAAAACCATTTTTTTAATACTTCGACACATGTTTCAATCACCAAGTGATCATCTTCAAACTAGTTTGAAGAGGATCAAACTGGCTTCAAAAGGAAGCCTCTTGAATATGAACACTTGGTGATTGCAACAAGTGTCGAGGTGTTAAAAATAACGGTTTGGTGTTGTGATTTTCTGTATCTGTAGAGTAAGGAGGGTAAGTGTAGACCCAAAGCACTTAGGCCACATGTGACCCATAGTCCATCCTCCCGAGGAGTGGTCTTAGGTCATCGTCCGTCCTGTCCAGGTCACTACGATACATCTCCTTTATATCGGCAGGTGTAGGCCAAGACTCGCCGAACACACATTCTCTTTGGCAACCTTGAGTTGTCTTACGGTGGACTCCACGAAGGTTTTGGAAGGTGCAGCGATATTACTGTCGTTGCGCGGCTTCTTCAACCTTCTTGGGGTTCCTTCCGTGGCGGTGCACAAGTGAGGGAGCTTTCCTCCAGGGGCAGCCGGTTCCTTGCCTTTATTCAAGGCGGAGCTCATGGCGCCCGCCGCAGGAGGTGGAGTGGGGGAGGAGGAGGGTGCACTTATAGTTGCTGGAACTCCTGCCTCTATCGCTCTCTTTCTCCTTTTGGCCTCGGCGCCGCAAATGCGCTTACGCCTTGGCCTTTGTATCACATCACGAGGTGATCTGCTCCAGCCTCATTCCAAACGGTAAATTGGGGTGGATATCACCCTAGATATCACCCTGCGGCCATTCAGCTGTCGGCACGAATCCTTACACCTTAGCTTGGGTAGGCTGGTCCACGGTGGCATGTTTTGCAAAGTCTTTTGGGGAGTTTCAGTTCCCCTCACCCTACTTATTTCTACCACTGACCAGGAGTCCGACGACCCCGTCCGTAAGGCCACATTGGCTTCCCGGACAGGGCCTCCAGTCCCCTGACCGTTCTCCTCTCCGCAACCTGGGGACGCGCCCGATAGGAAGGCCATCCTACGGGGGTGTTGGGTTCCAAACAGTGCATACATGTGAGTGATGTGAGGATGGGCCTCTGTAGCATGGTTTCGTAATCTGTCGATATTGTTTTGATTGTATAAACAACAATGCAAAACACGTTATAACACAAACATCAGAACCAGTTTGTGGAAACTACAACTCCACCCAATTTGAATGATATGAAGTCAGAAAGTCCATCTGGTCCACAACTTTTTATATTTTCCAGTTTTATATGCATGGAAATACTTCTATTGTCGCATCAAGAAATACTGCATGTTATTTAATTTCATTTTTGTGAAATCAACAGTTGATGAAGAATTGATCATCCCATATATACTCCATCTTTCTTTCTCTCCTCAACCTTTCAGCTATCTCATCACGTTCTTCGCTCCGATCCCTTTCTTTCGCTTTCCTCACACTTTTCATACAAAATACTCTAAAAATCCACAAAAATATCTACATTTCAACATACCGTAAGGTCGCAACATTCTCCAGTGGCGCAGCTGGCATTGCTGTGCAGCATGCAAGTAGTGGCATTGCAGCAGAAGTTGTCGCAGTGTTCCGGCATACCGCAATCGCACTGCTCCCCCGGTTCCACGAATCCGTTTCCGCATACTGGACTGTCGAACAGCGACGTCGGCTTGTTCTTCAGGCAATAGTCCATACCTTGGGTGAAGGCCTGCAGCAAGTAGTTCAAGCTACAAGAGGACCAGTGAGTAGGCGCCACTGTAGAACTGCTCGGAGCCATGATGCACCGGTCTTCAGGGCACTTGCATTCGTTGTTATCGTGTTCCATACCTGTTACAATATACCGTAATGTTTGACGACGATAATAAAAGTAATATACTGAAGTGAAGTCATAAATAATTCAAAAATGAAAGTTTAGGGAATGAAAGTTTAGGGTTATGATAAATAGAAATGGTTATTTGTGGAGGAACTCACCAAAATTATGTCCCATTTCGTGGGCAACGGTAGTGGCAACAAGTCCTACTACTGTTGAATGATCCGTGTTGACTCCACCAGAAAATTCGTAAGTACAAATAGGTCCTTTGAGAGCTTTCCCGACAACGCCATTATCAAAATTCACTTTCCTGGTGAAGGAAAAAAAATTAATGAAGAGTCTTCAGGTTTTTTGACGAACGACCAAATATCTGAGGTAAAATATTAATATGAATATTATATTTTAAAAACTGTACGACAGGTTCACGTTGGTAAACAAACTCTAAAAAACGTTTTGTTCACTCAGCTCGCAACAGTTCTAAGGTTGAAATTTGAAGTCCAGCCATCAACTCTCCATAGTAGGAATAACTGGACTTTCAAAAAATTAATTGAAATCAAAACGTTTAATAATATTAGTTAATCTTCACTTATCAGTTGAAAGCTTAGTGTATAACTGACAAATACATCAGGATATGAACATTAAAGCTAAAACTATTCGAAATATGAAAAAACCCTTCAAAATGTCAGGTTAAACGAAAAGAAAAAACGTACAAGAACACATTTGAAAATGGTCAGAAGCCTCAAATACAAAAATTACTGATATGTTCCGGTTTTTCTTACTACGTTACCAATTCCTATGCAAAAAAATCATACATTCAAGAATTCACGTTGATGTCACATCCTAATCTAGACCCTAATCTTGATCCTCAAATATTTCTTCCATTACCAAAAAAGAACTAATGCGAGGATAAATAATTTGAATTTCCCGCCAAAACGGCGGCCTTTTCGAGTTAGAACTCTCTTTACTTATCTACTATTTTCACAATGAAAGGTTTACCGCGGTTTTGGTGAAAATCATACATGAGTTTTGATAAGTCCTTAGATTTTTCTTCAAAGTGGAAACACTTCTGTATTGCTTATTGATTTTTTTGAAAAGTGTAACAGTCTACTAGGAAAGGAATTCACAAAGATCACGAAACAAAGAAGAGGACCAAGAATAGATCCCTAAGGAACGCCACAAATAACTCTTCAGAATTTAGATAATGTTGACATTCCAAACTGATTCGCCTTTCTCAATTTCCCTTTGAGATGATTCTAACTTATACCACAAAATGAGAAAAGTTTGTATATGTGGTACTTACGTTAACAGTTGAGCATTGTCATTGGGATGAATTTTGATTAGCGCTTCTCTTCTATAATGTAAAAAATTTGTGAGCGTCGTATCGCCATTAGAAGAAAAGTCAATTTCGTCTTTTTCAGTCCATATAACTACTCCTACCAGAGCTATAAAAATATTCAGAGGAGAGTAAAGCTGAAAACGAAATCACAATCAAAACAATTTCAGATGAAAAGTTCTCATGTAATTATTATCTTCCACTCACCGCATTGATTATATTCGCAATTGTTTTGGCATGATTGATGACTTTTGATGTACTCTCCCCCAATTCTTTGTATTCTAGATTGTCCATTACTAAGACTAATTCTACGTATTTTGATTCTTTGTTGGCATTGTAAGGTCCCCGAACTAATTCGTTTTGGTCAGTGTCTCTCTTGTACTAAAAAATAATGGCACAATTATAAAAGGAGTTCATCATTTTCGAACAATTCATAGTCTGCTGGGATAAAAAATCAACACTATCGAAAAAAAAAACCTATCAGGCATTTTTTACCAAAAAAATTGTAAGAACTGACGTAAAAATGTATCACTTAAACTTTGATTACCCCTTTACTTTTTCCGTTTCATTAAAAAATTTGTTTTTCATTATGTAAAGCTTCGAGAGACGTATCATACTCGCCAATAAAACAACATTATCTATCTCAAACAAATCATAACGTATGGTTCCACTGCAATAAAAAAACAACACGATTTTGGAAAAATACCTAAACAATTTTTCCAAAGATTTCATTTTAAAACCTCTCAAACAGCCGTACCTCGAGTAATATTCAATTCAAAAATAAAAAACCACACTCTTTCAGTGTCCTTGTTTTTCGAGTTTGAAAGCAGTGGATTTTTGGAATTTCTTCCTGACGTTTCGCTGCCGCGAGTGGCTAGCTTCTGCAGAGGTTTAACCATCATATATATCATAGATTTTATTTTTCTAAACTCCTATCGGATAACTGCCGTCACACCGTTAACTTTCCTGGCTGAGAACAGTTTGGTGGCCACCAACATCACCTGATTTGACTCCCTGCGATTTACATTTATTTGGTAACAATCAGGCAAAAAGTTTACAAAAACCCAAGATCCACTAACCGGAGCAAGTTATGTGGGATTTTTACTTTACTAACAAAATAAGTACAAGCTGTAAGAACAACTGGAGTACTTTGACCGTTTGCTTCATCGCCTTTGATATTGTGTACCGTATTTACAGACGAAACGTCTCTCGTTAAACCTGCGGATAACGGCCAACAAACCCGACAAATAACTTTGTCACAAGAATTACGGTTTTCAAGAAAAACAAAATATAAGATCGATCCAGATTGAAATATGTTTTGCGATTGCTGAAATCATCTATCTGAGCTGTTTGGTATACCAGAAGTACCCAGCCTGACCTAGAGATGGCGGTAGTTTGTGTTTCAAAAATATCACTGTATAGTCTATCCATTCCCAATTGAAACGGCATTAAAAATAAGAGTACAGTCATAAACATTTCTTGCCTGTGGCCCCTAGTCGCCCAAATAGTAAACGTGCTATCAAATGTAGTTGAGGAATAAAGGCTCGGCTAGCTGGACTGGCTGAATACAAATTTTTTGTCCGTTTCACAATATTTCTTTATCAGTGCCGTGTGTTCGTGGGGTTAGGTGAGGTAGTGAGTGGTTTTGCAAACCGAATTTTTGAAAACTTTTTCTATTTTTCTAGAGATCAATTACCCCGACACCAAACTGATATTTTTGCACTAGACGCGCGTTTCGCTAACAAGGTTAGCATCTTCAGGAGAAACAAATTGATACTGAATCTAAAGACAAGGGTTAGCTGTTTATATACCTGAAGATTTTTAGTCCGATGTGGACTTTGTTTGTTAAATGATGATTATCCTAATTGATTTTTCGGTGATTAACTAGTGGAACCACTACCTGCAAATTAATTTGTCAACAATAGATTAAAAAACGGACAAATTAATTTGCAGGTAGTGATTCCACTAGTTAATTACCGAAAAATCAATTAGGATAATCATCATTTAACAAAGTCCACATGGGACCAAAAAAACTTTAGGTATATAAACAGCTAACCCTTGTCTTTAGATTCAGTATCAATTTGCTTCTCCTGAAGATGCTAACCTTGTTAGTTGGTTTTGGGGTAATTGATCTCTAGAAAAATAGAACAAGTTTTCAAAAATCGGTTTGCAAAACCACTCACTACCTCACCTAACCCCACGAACACACGGCACTGATAAAGAAATATTATGAAACGGATAAAAACTTAGTATTCAGCCAGTCCAGCTAGTCGAACCTTCATTTCTCAACTACATTTGATAGCACGTTTACTAACTATTTGGGCGACTAGGGGCCACAGACAAGAAATGTTTATGACTGTACTCTTATTTTTATTGCCGTTCCAATTGGGAATGGATAGACTATAACAAAATTGTTCTTGGATAAACTCTCCCAATAATAATAAACTCACCCTTAAAATTCTGTTATCTATGTGTCCTTTCTCTGGGTCTACAGCATCACCCCCGTATCCGCAAGATTTGTTATGCTTCGCTAAATCTGAGTGTCTATATAAAAAATGTTCCGATTCAATGTCGGATTCTTCCAGATCGCTTCCCTTCTCGATATAGTGTATCTCTCTGCCGTCGAAGATGACGCCCGATAACCCGTCGCATGTAGATATGGCCGCCCAAGAATTCTGGACGCCCCGTATTTTTCCATTGTATTCGCAAAGGTTCGCATCCTGGAACAAAAAAAAAACATTTTGAAATAGTTATTGTGAAATCAAGAACAAAAATAAGTTCTTCTAGTGGCTTCTTGCATGGTGATAGGTCAACACAGACAGGGCCGTACTTGCCGAATTTGCAACAATAAGTATGTTACCGTCTCTTTCCCCGTTTCACGCCCTCTATTTTTTTCGGAGTTCAACTATTGATAGAGAGACCCTTACACTTGACCCTTCTTCTTGCCAACGTTTCGAATTTAATTAAATTCTTCAGGACTCTGTGACAGTGAATTTTCATAAACATACCTCCCACAAAACTCATACTGAAGAAGAATTCAATTAAATTGTAAGTAAGTAGAAAATACCAGTGCTGTTTATCATTATTCAAACGTGGGTCGATCAAAATCGGATTATTGCATCTCCTTAATTGAATTATTTACGATAAAACGTCTAGGAACTGTACGTGGGTGTCAGAAAATTAATGCGTTTATCGCACTTACTTGTAAATACCGTTAATGATTCAGCATGAACTTCCTTCGATAATTAGTGCGCAAAAAATATTGTGTGATAAAAAAGTAAACAAACAAATATATACGGGGGATTCAGAAACTTTGACATTCACTCGAAGCGAACAATTTAGTTGACGAATCAACTAAGGAATATTTCTATTGAGAAACTATTCGTACTACCAATAACCCAATCAGTTATTTATTTGGATTTGTATTCATCTATCGCAAGAACATGTTCATGAACCAGTTTACTAAGCAAATCAACAACTATAGGGTCAGTTTGTTTTGCCAAATAATGCAGGCGCCAAAGGACATTGAGTATGTAAAATGTGAGAACCGGCCAAAATGCCCAAATTCTTTCACCTGACACCCTACACAAAAAAAAACATGTTGCCGGCAGCTGTGATGGTCCTTTCCCTTTCCCCCGCCCTTCTCCTTCTCCAAGTAAAAATACTTCTATTGAAAAGTTGCAAGATGCAACAGATATAAGTCTCTTTAAAAAACCATTTATGTGAGATTATCAACGAGGATTTGACACAAAAATGTTAGCAGAAAATCCCCAAAATCGAAACTTGCTCATGAAATTGAAAATAATTATAAATGCGGTACAAACACGCGGCAGGACGTTTTAAATTTTCAAACTCCAAAAATTTATATTGTTGATGGTATGGCACTTGTTCATTGAATCCAATAAAAAAATTTCAACACCTTTGGTGATTTTGCTGAGGCATTCTACAATAAAATCCATACTATTTTCTTGCAACCAAATGTAAAACAAGTATTTGACAGATATGATAATATTTCGATGAAATATTTGGAATCAACTTTTCGGAGTAAAGTTCAAAATATTAAAAATTTTATAATTTCAAACGATCACACTAAAATTCCAACTAATTGTAATAATTTCTTTTCAAGCACTGAAAATAAGTTTCAGCTCGTTCGATTTCTCTGTACT